GTGACACGGGACCCATGGGCTTCCCAGGGTCACGGGGGTTCCCAGGACCAAAGGGCGTCAGAGGAACCACGGGTTTCCCAGGACAGCCAGGCGACCAGGTAAACAGAGCGGCTGTGAAACGTCCCTGTGGTTATCCCCTGCCTCCCAGAAACACAGCGAAGGGCAGGGCTCTCGTACTTGCCCTTTAAATTTCCTCCTGCGAAGAGGCTGTGGGTGTAAGAGAAAAGGTAAATTCCTGCTTCAGCCCTTTCATTAGGTTTGAGCAGGAGCTGTGGCGAGTCGGAGGGCCCCTTCTCTATCCCCTGGCTGCGATTCTGTTCTGTTGCCACTTGGTGGAAGCCCAGGCTGCTCTGCGCTGAATAGGGGAGCAGAAAAGGGATGCATAGTCAAGACTTAAACATTATTCCTCAGAACAGGTTGACGAATCACTTACTGCAGGGATTGTAACACAACAGCAGCACAGGTATCAAATCAAAATAGAGCTGCTGCTTCATTTCGTGCTGTGTGGAGCGGCCAAGCTGACAGACAAGACAAACCAAGTCTTCAGTGCCCATAGTGACAGCCTGCGCCAAGCAGGGCCCGGGCGAGCAAACGTACAAACCACACGTGCATCTCACGTGGGAACACACAGGAGATCTCTTTGCCATCTTGAGTGCTGGGCAGACAGGCAGTGAGATTCCATGAAGCATAAAGCACAGCTGTTTTCTTTGGTAAAGGGACGTATCTCTGCCTGGCTTGTCTTTTATTGTATTTCTTTGAAGAGATAATCTATGTTTTGCTGATTATAGGTCATTATTCAAAAGGAAATATAGCGAAATCTTTACCCTTTTACTGTTACCTCACAACATCTTTCCAGTTAAAGTTTATAGTAAAATTTGGGTAACATATAACAATATTTGGTACATTTTTATGGTACCTTTTAAATCAAATTACTCAAGCAATCTGTAGGGAATTTAAACTGTTCAAGGCAAAAGTTAGCATAAGTTATAAAAGCACAAATTCAAAATGATTAGCAAGTCTAATCTCCAGTTTCTTGGAAGCGGTAGCGGTCAGTGATAGACTTGTAACAAAGCCAGAGTGCTCTTCTGTTGAGTTTAAGGTACAGTTTTGCAGTTTGTATTGATTGCTGCTCCATTTACCAGCGCAGGATAACCACATGCTCTAATATCCGTTCCTGCTAGGTATATGTCAGATGTTTGTATTTTGTTTTTTAAAAAATCAGGGTGATGTTGGCCTACCAGGAATCCCTGGAAATACAGGACTGACTGGCCTGAAAGGATCTAAAGGTAATGAGTTTGTATAGATGTTCTTTTGAAAAGAGAAGTGTCGTTAGGATGTATATGCTTGGACAGGTAGCAAGTGCTCACTAGAAAAGGAAAACAGGTCAGAAGTGAGAACAGTTCAAACGTGAATTTCATTAAGAAACAAGTCTGACTTACTCAAAGGCAAATTTTGCATTTCAGTATATTCCTTAAGGGTTTGTTCCTTTTAAAGTAGATCTTACTAATTTAGAAGATAAATTTGTGTCAAATTTCATAAAGTTAGGAAATTACTCACAAGCTGAGTTAGAACTTCAGGACAAGCTGAGCTGGCAGGTAACTTGCATGTACCAAAGCACTTTTCATTCTGTGTACTCTCAGTACCTTTAAAGCTCTTGGTATCTCTGAGTAAATTATTTGAGGTTACAAAATTGACCAGCTTTGGTTCTGGGGATGAAAAGGATACTCGTGTGAAATGAAAGTCATTGTACCTCCACAGGCAAGAGAGGTGACCCAACTCCTCTGCTTGGTGCCCACGGTCGGAAAGGGCCTCCCGGAGAGCCAGGATTCCCAGGTACCTCTGTCTGACTGAAAATATTGGACTTGAAGGCTTATTTTCTCTATCTTGTGTTAGCAGAGAGGGAGCTCTGCTTCCTTTGCATATTGAGTGACAAACATACCAATACTTAACCGGAATAAAACCAGGCTGGGCCGTGTCTTGCCAGCCCTTCCTGTACTTTCAGGTATCACCAGAGAGATCGGTGTAAATCACTGCTAATAAATGGATGCAAGGTTCTGAAGTGTTTGAATAAAATCCTTTTTTACTCAAGAACCCCCTTACTGAGCTTTTGTACTTTTAAACATAATGAAATTAAGAATGAGCAACTTTAAACAAATAAATGCTAGATTATTATTTTTTCTTTAAGGACTCTGTGGATTCCCAGGAGAAAAAGGATCACCAGGTATCCAAGGGCAACCTGGAGGACCAGGATCCAAGGGTGACCCTGGATACCCAGGAACACCTGGATTCCCAGGTAATGCCAAAGTTTAAATAACAGTGCCAGGTAACAGCTCAAAAGAGATAGAGACCAGGAAAATGCCACCGAGGCACCTCTGTGGAGGAGGCTACAGAAGTCAGGGATCATATAAAGGCACATACTAAAAGCTCTTTCAGTGCCTGTCCAGTCAGCAATAGTTTGCTCAGAGAGGGAGATCTGTCAATTTTTCATATGTTCCCGTACACTTTCAGGTACCTCTGATCAACACTGTGTGCTGCGCAGCATGAAAAACCATAAACCAACAGTTTAATAGATTTGCATATACACAGATTATTTTTTTTCTCCCGTTCTCAGGAGATGCAGGTCCTCAGGGAATGCCAGGAGAACCTGGAGAAAAAGGGAAACATGGAATTTTGGGACCTCCAGGATTGCAAGGATTAGCTGGATCCCCAGGCAGAAAAGGTAAAGGGTGGGTGGCAGCGGCAGTGCAGTTGTGCTGGCAGTGTCACAGCACCAGCCGTAAATACCCCTTGAGCAGTGAACATGGAAAAGGCCTCACTGTGAGCTTGGGGCTGACTCTGTGTTCTCCTAAACTACTGGAAGAATTAAGCCAGTTCCCATCACCTTTGAAAAGTAACATAAATGCTAACTCGAAATGAGTAAGGAAGAAAGGTTCTGGCTCAGCTGATGTGACTGATAGCAGAAGTACACAGAATGATACACTGAAATTATAAGTTACATTAATACTTCATAAAGCAAGGGCTATGATGAATGGGTAGAGAGGACAACAGACTCACTTTTTCAAATTCGGGCTAAGGAAAAATTGAGAAGGTTTCTTATGAATTTAAACGGCAATTGCTTGCAGTAAATTAGTGGCACTTATGTAAACTGTCACGACAGTTTCCTTGCTGGTGCGTCATCTGCAAGAGAACACATTTTTGCAAAGAACATTTGCTGTAACAAAGGCAGAGCTCTGCAGTGACCGGGATGTATAAATAGAGAAGGGTCAAAAAAAACCCCAAACCAACATTCTTCTCCTGAAAACTTCCTAGTAGCAGATGGACTTTTTTCTTCCTAATGCAAACTGAATGGAATTTATCTTCCAATTCATTCAGAGAATAGAAATCTTAATGCTATTTTCAATAAATATTGTTGCTGTCATTAGAAATGAAATGGTTAATTGGCTGTTTGTAGCTAAGTACACAGCCTCATTAGTCTAATCACTTCTCATTTACATTGTCTTGTGCCTGAAGAACTTTTAGATAAAAAAATTAGTTAAACAGCATCTCCCAAAGCATAATCACATTTTGTCAGAGAGATAGTTTTACTAGTTAAGGGCTTAGTCTGGCAAGCCTTCCTTGTGTGAGTAATCCTTGATGAAGCAAGTAATATTAAGAACATCAGCAGAATCACTTGTGTGAATAGAAGCTGAACTGGGCTGTAAAACACAGAACAGTGGTTCATACACAGGTCAGCCAATTCGGCTGTACCTAGAAATACAGGACTACAGCAATCCAAAAATCTAGAGTTACAAGTGCTGATATTATGATGGATTGTTGGCGAATGTGTCAGAAATTCCCTGGAAAGCCAGTAAACCAAGCCATCAGTCCTGACTGAATAAGCTGAAGATCAAAAACGTCTTGAATGGTGAACTTGGTGCCAAAAATAGTTAGGAGTTAGTAATAATTTTTGAATACTACTATTAAATTCCCCTGACTAGCATGCAGCTCTTACATGAATTTGAAAATGGGAACGTCCCCAAAGCGCAAGCAGGCTACAGAAAGCAGGACTGAAACAGCACAGAAGATATTGCAGGTTGGATTACTTCGTCCATACAGGTTAGGAAACTACAAAGTGCTGCTCAGTGTAAAGAATTTTTGTAACGGTGTGATGCAGAAAAAGCAATAGCTCGCTGTGTGAAACCTGCAGGACTGGGGAAAAGAAGCCAGGTGAAAACAGAGCTGCTTTCCTGTGCAGCTAGATTAAACTGCACTTACCTTGAAGAGAAGCTGTGAAGAAGTTACATCTGTGTAGTTATTTTAGGCAGCGTCTGCATCCCAGTCACCTGGTCATGTAGTGGTAACGCAGCCAACTTTGGACTAGTTAATCACACGTAGAACTAGTCTAACCAGTTACTAGTTTCACTGCAGAGCTTCCTGCTGCAGCATAGGAACACCTCAAGAAGGAAAAGGCATGTTTTCTGATTGCTTTGCTGTGAAACTCTATGATGAGGGCTATTTGCAGATTTTTCACACTTTCCTTCCAAAAAAGGCTGTGCTCAGGTGCAACGTGACCTCATCTTCAGCTGCCAGTAAGAATCAGATTCAGCAAATGCCCTGTCCTGATTCAGAATGTGTTGTCAGAATTAAAAAACAGCATAATTTTTAATTGTGACTTTAAAGGATTTTTGTGGTACCCTGTCACAGCTGTAATACCTTCTCAGGTCTCCCTGGACTGCCTGGACTGGATGGCTTGGATGGACTAAAAGGTCAAAAAGGTTCTGCAGGAGCTCCAGGTAAAACAAAAAAGGAAATAGCTGTGTGGAACAGAACACCTCTCTTAAACGACTGAATGTGCAAGGAACGAAGCACGTTATCTTGACATTTGCCCTGCCCAGAAGATATTGTTAAGGCTCAGGCTAAACTTTCAAACATAATCTAAAGCATGTCCAAAACACACCTGCAGTCTTCCATGGGGAAAACTTTAAGACTTCCATCACTCTTAGTTTTATTGGAACCTTTCAAGGCTGTTTATAAAACAAAAGTGTTCAGCACAGACAACTCAAAGGAAAGCCAAGTCTCCAGGGTTTTTTGTATGTAAAAGATAAAACTAATAAATTAAAAGGAAATCCCAGCCCCATTACAGTCCATGGGAGTTGTGCCACAGATGTAAGAGGAACCTGGATTTCAGTCATGCTGATATATTTACAAGTTTCAAAAGGTGCTTTTGAAGCAGCATTAAAAAGCTGCACTCACCATCTATCTAGACATTACAGATCCACGCTGATAGAAAATTAAATTTGGGACCATGCAATCAGTTTAAATTTCAAGTTACAGACAATAACGACACCACATAAAATAACCCCTGAAGAAGAGCATTAAAGCAAAAAGATTACTTTCAAAGAAAGAGATGAATCAGGGCCAGATTCAACAAAAATCTATCCAGCTTCCAAGAGAGAACCAGAGAAATAGCACAGGGAGGAACATCTGCAGCCGGCATTTCTGTTCTGCACATCTGTATTTGTACTCACTGTAAGCTTTACGTGCGCAATTGTTTTCCTATAAAGGTCAAAGTGAAACAGGGCCCCCAGGACACCCGGGAGAACCTGGGCCAAAGGGAGGCAGAGGTGAACCTGGCTGGCCCGGCGTTTCCATCCCAGGCCCCCCTGGAGAACGGGGGTTCCCAGGATTCCCAGGTAAGGAAGGGTCTTCTCTTTAGTGGGGCCCTGCAGAGTTGAAGTGAAGCTCATACAGGCTCTGTAACCTAAAAAACCCTTCAGATTTCTTTTTCCTTCCTTTATTTTCTTTTTTTTTTTAATGTAAAATGTGATCCCCTAGGTAGAAGAGGACCTTCTGGACCCATTGGACCTAGGGGAAGGTCTCCTGACAGTGCTTCTCCTGGTCCTCCGGGTGATCAAGGACCGCCTGGTTTTGATGGCGTCAGAGGTATTAACACCAAAAATACCACATTTGATGATGTAACAAGCCCCTGAGGCTGCTGGGAGTCACTGGGTTGCTCTCCGTGGAACAACATATATGGGAGATTGGGGAAATCCCACAGCTCTTTTTAGATGTTTATGCTTCGGGCGTAGGTTAAGAATAAAGTTCTTTTCCCATAGGTGAGCCTGGGAATCCTGGTCCTCCCGGAGAGACTATCTTTGTGCGAGGAGATCCGGGCGATACTGGTATTCGAGGGGCACCAGGGAACCCTGGGCAACGAGGGCAGCAAGGAGCCAGAGGTCTTCCAGGGAACCCAGGAAGAGCAGGCCCAAAGGGTATGATTGGGGTGTTTATAACCAATCTCTAGCAATTGCTACAGAAAGAAAAGTTAAGATTTTTAATTCGGTTCAAGTCCAAGGAGAGAAGAGGAAAATGTGCATTTCTTCCTGGGAGACCAGAGAGTTGAGCTGCCCCGAGCTGTTTTTGTTACTCAAGCAGCCAGGCTTCATCTTATATACACCTTCACCTTCTTGGAAGGCAACCACATGTAACTGCACAACTGCTTTCTTTGCAGGTCCTATGGGAATCCACGGCCCACAGGGGCCACCTGGTGCTACAGGAGAACCAGGAGACCAGGGTTTACAAGGAAAACCCGGCCCCAGAGGGCCCACAGGTACTTATGAACCTGTTGCTCAATCAACTGTAACTGTCTTTCTATTCATATGTAATCTTACTAACTTTTACTTGTATATAAACAATTTAAACAATCTCAGAAAAAAACTCCACAACTTAATGGATTTCTCATTTGAGTTGTGCAATAATTTCTGAACTATATGGTTTTTTTCTAATGTCACCACATGTAAGATATTTCAGTTCTCATTCCATGCTTTAATTTACATGCCTGGAACTTCTTTCCACCTGCCCCACAATGGCTGCAATCTGCTTTCCATGTCTCAAATCCTTCAGGTTTCATAGGTAAGTTCACAACTACTGTTCTTCTCTATAGATACATTCCACTCTTACTAGCAAGTATTCATGGCTTGGCTGCTAGGAGTAGTAGATGCTGCTATAACAACATGGTTCTAGTAGATTTTCCACCTCAACAGCTAGCACTTCCAAGCACAGACCAGTATCACAGTAACTCTGCCTGGGGAAGTCTGGTGCAACGATGTCACATTGGACTTGTGAAACACACTTACTTCAAATTATCGTCTGGGTTTTTTGTTGTCACGTGAGATACTTTCTAACAAAAAACTTTGCAAAAGCTTGAATCCTAACACTGGAACCCTGCAAACACTCTCTTAATCTGACTACTGAACTCTCTTAATCTGACTGCATTGATTTTGTTCTGATTTTGTTCCGAAACACAAACAGGCAGTAGCTCCCAGTAACCTTCAACAACGCAAAACATGGTCAGTCTTTACTTTTTCTTATTGTAATTATTTTAAATGGCTGCCGTGGGCTAGCTTCTTTGGCCTGCTTACTGGTGGCCTTGCAGCCGCAGAACGGGGGAAGCACTGCAAATCTTCACATGTGCTGAGGTGTTTGTGCTGAAGTGGGGTGGACTTTAGGCTTTGACACAAATCATTTCGGGGCACAGAAAACAGAAACTGTACACCAGATACTCAAAACAGATCAGCTAGCATACACTTGCTAACACATGCTTGCCATCTGTTAAATGCTGTGCTAAAAGACTAAAATTAAAAGCACTGAGACTCAATAATTCAAGGTTTTAAAATACTTTTATGCTTGAATAGCAAAGCCAGCTAGCAGTTATGTTGATTTTTTTCATGGGAGCTACTAACCAACCTTCTGTCTAATTCACTTCCCTATTACACATTCCAGGTGACCCTGGTGAACCAGGAAAAATAGATGACTCGTGCCGTACAATCCCAGGGCCACCTGGGGAAGCGGGGCCGAGGGGCCATGATGGCTCCGTGGGAGCACCAGGGCCGATTGGCCACCCTGGACCCCCAGGTGAGCTCAAGCTCTGAACACTCGGACGCCTATTTTAGCCACTCAGACACCAAAGGTGCCGTTTTTGGGTGGGGTCAGCCCTGCCAGCCAGCCCCTCGTGTGCCTCTGTTCAGACAACATGTAACCTTCAAACGCAGCCACGTGAAAGGAAAGTACATGCTTTGTGTTTTTCTAGGAAGAAAAGGTGAAGAAGGCTCATGTGGCCTGCCTGGCCAGGATGGCTCACCTGGGGCTCCTGGGCCACCGGGTGACCAGGGCAGCAGAGGAGAGCAAGGATACGCTGGGCCACAAGGTGAGAGCAGAACACGGCTTCGGGGCAAGGGACATGGGAGACAATGTGCAGATGGAGTTTTCTGTCTGCGCCCCAAGTTCACACACGGATACACTGCCTCCTCCTCCTTGGTTCAAGCACTGATAGTGACATTTGCGAATGATTTCATAAGGCATAGAAAGACCTATCAGAAGAAAATGTATCTTAGCATCCATTATTAAGCGGAAAGGCAATTAACCATGCGTGCCAAAACACTGTATTTCAACTGGTACGCATTTCGGAGTCGTGCAGCTGTCTGTGAGTAATTAAAATGTATTTTAACTGTGACTGCTGTTTAATAAATTCATAGTTTAATACATATGTGAGGAAAGGGCATCAACTGCTACTGCAGGGATTCAAGGTCAGTCCTCCCAAGCCATGCTAGCGAGTAAGTCTGGGACTTACAATCAGGAGCCCCGTACTTAACAGTTAAATACAGTAGAAGATAAAGGTTTGCAGTAGCTACGTGTTCATACAAGTAAATGTCTCTTACCTTTTCTCCTACATAAAAAGGTCCACCTGGCCAGACAGGTATCCCCGGACCACCGGGTCCCCACATTAGATCTGCAAGCGGATTCTTGCTCATCCTCCACAGTCAGTCGGACAGAGAACCACTCTGTCCACAGGGGATGCCCAAATTATGGACTGGCTACAGTCTCCTCTACCTGGAAGGGCAGGAGAAAGCTCATAATCAAGACCTGGGTATGTATCGTGGTACATCACGGCTCTCTGTTTAGGGACTAATACGGCGTGACCTATGCAATGACAGACAAGTCAAATGGAACATGCTATAAGATCATCAATTACTTATTTTCTACACTCAGAACCAATTTACACTTATTAATTTGGCTGTGCTGCCCTGTTACATGACCCATTTGAAAAGGCTTTCTGCTGCTATGCAGCTGAATGAAAAAAGTATTTCTAGCTCTAGAAACTAATACTGAATAGAAGTTGGAGAGAGGAGTGGTTTATTTCACTCATCCCAGCTAGTCATTGTGGGCTGTCTTTGAACTCACTGGAGAGATTTTTCCCAGATCAGGAATCTCATTTGGCCACTCTGAAATCACTCCCTGGAGGATCTGTCCCTTTTTACTGGAGAGGCAGCTTGGAAAAAATTGCTGCTTAACTTTGGTGGTTACAGCTGGGTGGTACAAATAAGCTTTGCAAATAAAATTATGCATCATGGGTACAGCAGAATCATGTGCTTTTAAAAGTCAGAAGCTGGTATTTTTTGGAAAACAAAGAGCCAATTTTCACCCAAAGACAGTTCCCTTTGGTGGCTTGGGTCATTTCTTCTGCAATTCTGACTGAAATTGTCCAAACAAGTGTCCTGACCTGCAGCCTGACAAACCGACAGGCGGCAATTGCACAGAAGAAACTTCCTAAATTCTTGTTGACTCGTTATAGAAGAGGCAGAGAAGTCTTCTAGGAGGAAAGACTAAGGAAATAATAAGCTGTACAAAAAAAGACGTTTTGAAAAAGCAGTACAAAGAACTATTTTTAGTACAGCAGTGTTGTTTTGAAACGTTTTCGCTATTGTGTGTTTGGCATTCCCCAGCAGAGCCAGTTGGTAACAGAATGCCTTGTAACAGCGGTGAAAGTAAGATTTAAAAGAAAATAAAGTCCTTGCTTCCTGTGCCCAGGGTGTTTGTTTCCCAGGCATTTGCGGAGTAAGGAAAATCCAGCTCCTTTACTGGTCCTGGAATGAGATATTGTCAGCAATAAACAAAACTGCCTTCTGCATGGAAATGTCCCAGGTGTTTCAGGAAGGTGTTAGGGCTGGGGGCATTGCAGAAGTTAACTCACTGCACGCAAAGTTCAGGGCAGTACATACAGGCAGCAGCTGTCATTGCTGACTGAATAGGTCTAAATTCAGTTGTGGAAGCACTTCACCTCTGCATTTGCACTAGTCACGTCTGAGCTTCCCCGCAGGTCTGCCTGAGGAGAGTTCTGGAGGACTGGCTCTGCAAAATCCCTCAGTCCTTCTATTTCACTTCGAGAGTCTGCAAAAACTTTCTGGAAGGCAACAGAACAGCTGCTGAGATTTCAGCTTAACGCTCTGCTAGCAACGGCTTGTCATACTTCACAACAATTTTCTATTTATCAGCATCGGCATTTGGTTTCACACTGCTCCTAATGAGTTTGTAAATAGCTAATCTCCCTTTAAACCAGCTGCCACCTCTTGCCTAATTTATTCTTCAGCATTGGCACAGCTAAGAAATTTATCATAACTGTTTCCCATGGTGACAAACTGCATCACATTTAAATATCAGGTTGTGACAGAAGTAAGTATTATTGGTCAAAGGGAGACGCTTATTGGTAAGAAAAGTTCCTGCTCCCAATGTAAGGAGCCGTTCTGATGATGAGTGTGGGAGGTCTAAATTCTGTGAATTACCCAGCTCCTGCTAATACACGCAGCTTCGTGGCAGCGCAGGCCAGGATACTATTTTCAACTTACCTCGAAAGCAGAGGAGCCATCGCCATCCTCTGTGGTTATTTTCAGGTCTGGCAGGATCTTGTCTTCCCGTGTTTAACACCATGCCCTTCGCTTACTGCAACATCAACCAAGTCTGTTACTATGCCAGTCGGAATGACAAGTCCTACTGGCTGTCGAGCGCGGCTCCACTGCCGATGGCGCCGCTCTCCGAGGAGGAGATCCAGCCCTACATCAGCAGGTGTGCCGTCTGCGAGGCCCCCGCGCAGGCCATCGCCGTCCACAGCCAGGACCAGTCCATTCCTCCCTGCCCGGCCAACTGGAGGAGTCTCTGGATCGGATACTCGTTTTTGATGGTGAGCCCAGGCACACAGTCGTGTGTGTGTATCTATATATCTATATCTATGTCTATCTATATCTATATCTATATCTATCTATATCTATATCTCACTAAAAGGTTCTTTCATTCAGCTTTTGTGTCCCAAAGGTTCAAAGATTTTTAGCTGTGAAATACAAACCGACCAATGTCTAGTCAAAAGGGACAATTCACAAAAAGAGACAAGACAGGTTAATTCCAAACGGCAGCACCCGGCTCTGGCTACATAGACTTGAGTCACAGTCTTAAGCAACACGTTTCTTAAGATTACAAAGATTTTTGCCTGCTTTTCTTTAATAAACAATGGGATTCTCATGTAAAAAGACACACTTCATGGAATCAGAGGTCCAGGTCTTTTTAATGCCATCCTCTAGTTGCATTTGCAGCGGTTTAGGTAACAGTGTTGCTTAAAATAAACCCAGATTACCCTCTTCTTCAGTTTGATAAATATCAGAAAAGCAAGCTGACTCTAGGCTTCTGAGATTAACTCCTCACAGAGCAAATTAAGATTTTTCTGCAGCAAAGGAAGCTTACTCCAACCTAAGATCACCAAACCCAGTACAGTTTTAAGTCAGAAATGGGTAGATCAGCAAAATTTACCTACTTTCCATGCAGAGTTACTGAGTTCTTCCCCTGTTCTTTCCAGCATACGGGATCTGGTGACCAGGGTGGGGGACAGTCCCTTATGTCCCCTGGAAGCTGCCTGGAGGACTTCAGATCAGCCCCATTCATCGAGTGCCAGGGCCAGCGGGGAACGTGCCAGTTTTTTGCTAACGAGTACAGCTTCTGGCTAACGACCGTGATGCCCGAACTGCAGTTTGCGTCAGCGCCCCTCTCAGGGACTCTCAAAGAAGGGCAAGAGCAAAGGAGGAGGATCAGCAGGTGCCAGGTGTGCCTGAAGCACGGCTAGCGAGCAGGAGCAAAACCAACGGCCGGAGTGAGGGTTGCCTGAGGACGAACCCCATGCTAGAGACTTGACCGGTATTTAGCGTTTTAACACATCTGGAAGCCTGCAGCACTGCTCTTTTTGTTCGAAGGGATACATAAGACTGACAGATGAAGGATCTGTTGAGCCTCAACCACCCACAGGCCAGATCGACAGGCAGGGAGATCTCGCATCGACAGCTCGGTTCAGACGCTCCAGCTGTCACAGGGGGGCCAGGAACGACATGAGCTCGGGGACTGCTCACAGCATGAATCCCACGGGAACGGACCTGTGGCACAGGAGGTCAGGAACGGCACTCCCGGCAGGAAGAGCACATGCACTTACACGGCATATGACAAATATTTATCCTCATAGGTACGGGGGGGCAAACATAAAAATGTCTTAAACCCCTGTTGCTGAATTTCCCAAGCTAAAGATGCCTGCACGTGCTCTTTCTGAGAGAGGGGGAAAATATTGTTCAAAAAATCCTCATAATAAAAACGATGAAGATCAAGGTCTTTTACCATTGCAATAACTGAACCAAACTGCAAAAGAACTTTTAATTGGGCTTTCACAGGCAACAAAAAGTTCCAAGTCCATTTAACAGTAGATTATGGAAGAATATAAAGTTGGCTGAGATAACAAATGCTTAGGAAGCTATATTTATTATATTTGCAATTGATTTCTAAGAGCAGTTATATTAAGTTATTAAGCTCTGATCCAAGTAGCTGAAGAAACAGCAGTTTCTAATATAATTGAAAAGAAATAATAGCATGGTGATAAAATGGGTGAACTTACCTGACTGGCAAGTGTTAGGACAATTGTCTAAACTTGAAGCTAATAAAGTATGTTCACTTTTTGCTTCTTTTCTTGTAAATACAACATCAAAAAAACCCCACACACATCACTTGTAAGATCCCTATGGAATCATAGCTCTAGAGATGTTTATTTTTTAAAGCACTGGTTATTAAAATGCTTATAAGCTGAAGCATTAATCACCTTTTTAAAAAGTTAAAACCACATTTATACCTCCTCCACTCAGCTATAACCCCAGGACTATTAAATGTGTATTTGCATCACAGTGAAACCACTGAAAACAGACTGCAAACGGAGAATCTGCCATGTGCGGAGTGGCCACAAATGCTCCTGTTACCCCTGAAATGAGGTACGTGCTACTAGAACGGAATGCTTTTTCCAGCACTTTTCATTTCAGTTTGTGTTCACCGAGAGAGATGACCCCCACAGAAGGATTTTCCGGGAACCAGAGACCCACGGCCAAGAGCCCCAATTCAAAGAGAACTCCCTGAGAAGCCACCACGAGCACGAGGAGCCGGGCGTTGCAGAGGCAGCTGCACAAACCCAAAGGGCAGGAGAAGGCCGACGTGCCGGTCTCTACCAGAGGAAAACAAACCCCGCGGAGCGCAGAGCCTGCCCCAGCGAGCAGCCATCAGACCGGCAACCTCCCTTGGCCCCGCGCTGCGCTCACCTGGGGGTGGGCCCGGAGCCCCCCGGGGGCAGGTGCCCAGCACCACAAGCACCACTCGTCTGCCACATCCGAACTCTGCACCGCGAGAGCCCCCTGTTTATTAGCTGTAACGTTAAGCCACAAGCCATCATTTCAAGAATGCGCCTGTTACCAAGTCTGCTGATTAGGATTAATTAAGGGGGTGGAATTTCTTACACGGTAACTGATCACAGTGTTCAGAGGAAGTATGAAAAACCAACAGAAGTCACAGCTCCTGCAACAAAGGAATTAAACGTCGAGTGTGAAGGGTTTTATACAAAAGTGCTTTTTCCTAAAGAATCCATACTTTATGTAGAGTTAATCC